CTGGAACTATAATGCCCAGCAAATTTATCAGATTTTTGTGGATTTAAAAAAATATGCCCTAATATATGTAGTGCAAATGGATATTGCTTAAATAATAAGTGTTATTGTGCTAGAGGATTTAGTGGATTAGATTGCTCTATTAAAGGAGCCTCTTGAGATATTTTAATATTTATCTATTATTTATAGAAATAAAATTTTTTATTTATTATTATATACAAATAGAATTTTTTATTTATTTTTAATATAAGCAAAGAATATAATGCTTTTTTATTTTAACTTTATAATTAATATTAGAATATTAAAATAATATTTTAGTATAATATTTTTAAAAATATTAATATATAAATTTTTATATTAAAAAAAATAGAAGTTAATAATATAAAATATTTTAAAAATTGTAAAATAAAAAAAAAAATATATTAATTTTTAAAATTAAAAAAAAATTAATTTAATTTAATTTATTATTAAAATATTTTTATAATATTTTAATAAAATATTTATATAAATATAAATTTTTAATATAAAAATAAAATAAATAATTTTATAAATTAAATTTATAAATAAAATTGATTTTATAGATTTTATTAATTTAATAAATATATATTCTTTTAAATATAAATAATTTAATATAATTATTTTTTTTTAATTTTTTTTTTATTTATAATATAAATTTAAATATAAATATAAATATAAATATAAATATAAATATATATAATAATTTTTTTATTATTATAATTAACAAATTAAGAATATTTTTTTACTTTTCTATTTTTTATTATTTATATTATTTTGACTTATCTCTTTTAAGTTTAGATATAAAACGACTAAAATATTACTAAGTTAATTATATACTTGCATTAATCTATTTGTTTGGGATTTTTATGTTTTTCTAATTAGTATTTTTATAATTTTAGTTACTTAAATTTTAAATAATTATATCAACTACGGTAGGAAAATTGAAATATTAACGATCGAATTCCAAAATTTGAAGAATTGTGATGAATAAACTTTCAAATCATTTTATTTTTTATGTAATAGTAGGTTAGTTTACTATATGTGTTTCCTTTAGAATTTACCCATTAACGTATATCATTAGCGCTAAAAATTAATATAATATTAATTTTATGGGTAACATTTTTAATTTAATCTTTTTTTTTCAATAAAATCAGTTGATTTTATATTTACTACTTCAGCTAAATTGAAGTTAATTAAACCAATAGAATGTCCTTAACTATCCAAAAATTGACACTTAGTTGCAGAAGCATAATACTACTAATTAACATCCATTTTATATTATACATATAAATTTATATCAGATATCTTTCCATTAATTTTGTCTATTTAAGGAACTATAACATTTTCATATTGTTAAGATTTATATTTCATATTTACTATGATTTTGGGATTATTTTTATTTAACTGAGAAAATATTCGATTGCCAATTATTCTGCTTCTTGCATTAGCAAATTAACTATTTATTACTATCATGAGAAGGCAATCTTGAAAATAAGACATGTCGTAGGTTATTACCATATTACGTGGAGTTTTATTTTATAAATACGGATATCTAAAGATTCTATATCATATGGTATCGATTTGTATTTGTATTTTTATTTCATGAAATCGTGAACACATTTATGTTATAGTTTATAGCTGATAAAATATAGAGTTATATACAAGACATTTCATTTTTTATTTTTTAATAATTTTTGATACTATTTATAATTTTAAAAATTGTTAATTAAATTAAATATATTTTAATTATATTAAATAAATTAATTAAAATAAAAATAATAATTATTTAAAATTAATTATTTACAATATTTTTAAAATTAAATCTAGTAAATAAAATTCTTAACAAATAATTTATTTATTAAAATAAATAATAAAAAAAAATTTATAATTGAATGCCTAATATTAAATAAATATATGTGTTTTATATAAAAAAATACAAATTATAAATATTAATACATATAAATAATAATTTTGCATTTATTTGAATTAAAAAATAATAGAAAATTAAGTTATAACATATTCTCTATTAAAAAAATAAATAAATATTATTTTTTATATATATAAATAAAAATAAAAATAATATTAATAAAATATATTTTATATAAAAATTTATATATTAAAATATATATAAAAATAATAATAAATTTTAAATATATAAAGTATAAAATAAATATATTATAAATTATAAAATAAGATATAAAATATAATAAAATTAATTAAATTTTATTTATATATTAAATAATTTTAATAATAATTCACATTCTTCTTAAAATTATTAAAAGTACTTTTCAAAATTTATATTTAAAGTTTAATAATGTATAAAAATTTTATATTAATTTTTATTTTAATATAAATATAATATATTAAACATATGTATATATAATAAACATTATTTTATATTTAACTTATTTATAATTTATTATTTTTAATTAATTTTTATTATTTGATAATAAATTACAATTAATAAAATAATAATGAATTAAATTAAAATTTATTAAATCAATATACAAATACTATTAATTAGAAAATAAAATCCTTTAGCTTTACTTGTAAAATTATATTAAAACAAAAATTTTAAATAAAGTATAAATAAAAAAAATTAACAAAATATATTAAAAAATATGTAAAAACTTATAATATACCTAGTATTAATAACCTTTGTTTTTGGTCTAAAAGTCCTTAAACACGAGTGTGGCCATGATAAAATAAAAGAAATCTCAAAATACGAATCCATTCCTCCAAATTCTATTGAAGAATCTTCAGATATTCGTAATTTATAAAAGAAACAACCTCGTAATATGATAATTACCTATAATATGGATTTTTTCAAACCTTTAGCTGATTCTGTTATGGCACATTAACTAAGTAAAATAATTAATAGCTGCGAGAAAGCTTTGTAATTGGCAATTGATTATTTTTCTCGTTTAATAAAAATAATCCCAAGAAAAGAAACAGATATGAGATATAAATCAAGTAATCCAAAATGTGGAATAGTTCCAGTTCCTTAAATAGACAGAATTTAGGGAAAAAAATCTGATTTACATATATATGTATCATATACAGTTGAATCAAATAACGGTAGTATAGCACACGCTAATTGGTGTTAATTTTTGAATCGTTTAGGACCAACTCATGGTACAGTTAACTTTAATTTTGGTTTATTAACTAGCAAAAATTTGGAAGATCCTATTATGTTTGAAGATTTAATGGAAATAGTTATCCATGAAATCACTCATATATTAGGTTTTAGCAATAGTGATATATCAAGATGGGTAAATTCTGATGGAAAGTCTCATGTTTTCCCTATTTTTGAAAAAGATATAAGGGGAGTTAAAATTTAGTTGCTCAGAACTCCTAATGTTTTGAAATTCGCTAAAAAATATTACGAATGTGAAAAATTATTTGGTATGCCTCTTGAAAATTAAGGAGGAAAAAAGTCTGCAGGATCTCATTGGGAATAAACAGCTATCGCAGACGAATACATGAATGCAAGTCTATCACTAACTTAAGCCTATTTTAGTGGTTTTACAACCAGTCTTTTAAGAGACACAGGTTTCTATGCTGAAATAAATGAATCTATGGAAGAATAAATGTTCTATGGAAAAGGAAAAGGCTGTGATTTCGTCGTTGGTAAATGTGATTAAAAAAATAGAGAATTTTGTATCCCTGTGAAAGACGATGGATTATGTGATTTTTATCACCATGGATCTTCTAATTGTAATATTGGTTAATATGATGATCCTGATTGTAACACTTCTAAAGTCAATACTAATGGAAAATGCTGGGATACTAGTAGTCAATTAAATACATAAGAAAATTAGATAACATATGGAGTTAAATTTGGGATTTAATCAAAATGTTTTAATGTAACTTTATTAAATAAAAAACATTAACCATCTGATAAATTGTAGGGTAAATGTTATAAATATAAATGTGAATCTAATGAAAAATTGGTTATTGAAGTAGGAGATTAAAAGGTCATTTGTACTTAAAACTTAGCATAAATGAAAGTTGACGGATTTCATGGATATATTTAGTGTCCGGAAAATATAAACGAATTTTGTGGGTTTAAAAAATTCTGTCCGAATCAGTGCAGTGCAAATGGATTTTGCTTAAAAGAATAATGTTATTGTGCAAAAGATTTCTAAGGAAATGATTGCTCAGCTAAAAAAAAATTGTGAAAAATAAAATTAATTTTCTATTTATATTTATTTTAATAGAAAAACTAAAAAAAATAATATTATATATAATTTATATTTTAAATTTATAAATAAAATAATATTGTTTCTTTTTATTATTTTATATATTTTTTATTTAATTTATAAAATATATTATAAAATCATATATAAAAAAAATTATTTATAGAAAAATACGAAAATAAAAATAGTATTAAAATAATAACTCAAACAAAAGTAATAATAAAAGATAGATTTATATTATAAAAAGGTTTATTAATTATAAATAAAAAACATCAAAATTATATTATAATAATAATATAATTATATATTAAAAACTTATGTTAATAAAGGTAATAAAATAATTTATATACTTTAAAAAATCATGTTTTATTTATTAATCTTCTAAAAAATCTTTAAAAAAATTTAGTCCATAAATTTCAGACAAAAAAATAATCAAAAACTTGTAATAAAAATTATAAAATAAAGATATTATTTTTATATAAAAAACAAATATATATTATAAAATTAATATTTTTAAGCACCTAGTTTTAATTTAGAATTAATGTACTAAAATCAAATCAAATCAAATATCAAATATTGATTACAAAAACATGTAGTATAAAAGACAATAATTACTATAAAAACCCAAAAATAAAATTGCCTTTCATTAATAAATAAAATAACAACATAAATTCTTTTAATATATAAAATATCTTAAAAATCCTAATAAATTGGAGTAAATTCTAAAAAAAAATAGAATTAAATTTGGTAAAATTTTTTTTTTTTTTACAAAAAATAAAATAATAAAATCGCTATTTTTCATACTAATATTTTATTTTTTTAAAAATATCATTTTTTAATCAAAAGTAAAATTATTAAGTTTTTTTCATTAAAAATATAGAGGAAAATCTTGAAAAAAATTATGCTTTAAACTACATTATTTTGTTAATTTTTAAAAATCAAAATCTTTAATGGGACTTGCTTTTCCAAAAAAAATAACGGAATTTACAGGATTTAGAAAAAAGAAGAGACTAAAAGTGTCATATAAATATCTTTATATATGTATTTTTTAAAAAATTAGTATAGTATTAATTTTTTTTAATTATTTATTACAATAATAAAAAATTCAAAAAAATGAAAAAATTATTAAATAAATTATAATATTATTTAGTTAATTATATTCTTTTTTTTAAAAAATAAAATAAAATTAAAAATTAGAACTTTAATTCTTAACAAAAAAAATATTGTTATATAGATATTAAAAAATCATCCTTTTAATATAGGCTTTGTTTAACTGCTATCATTTCCAAAGTATCCTTTATTACAAACACACTTATTATTTAGACAATATCCGTTTTAACTACAGAAATTCGGACAAATTTTTTTAAATTTGCAAAACTACGGTATATTTTTAGGGCATATAATAATTCCATCATATCCTTTAACTTACATATTTTCTAAATTTTTTGAGCAAACAACTGTTTATTTTCCTACATGAATAGTCACTAATTATCCGTTAGAATTTATAGCATAAACCTTAAATTTTTCGATTATTCACATAATAAGTATCTTTTATTAAAGAAGAGTTAAAACATTTCGAATCAACTCCATATTAAATTCCGTACACTTATTGTGTTTATACTGAGTGTTACATATTTTAAATATTCCAGCATTCCTTATATTAATAAACCTAAAGTGTATTACAATTAGGTTCATTAAATTAACCAGCATAAAAAATTGAAGCCTCAATATGGGAGAAATCACATAAATTTATATCTTTTTAAGGAATACAAAATTCATTTTTAGTAAAATTACATTAACCAGTGACGTGTTGACAGCCTGCTCCTTTCCCTTAGAATATTTCTTCTTCCATAGATTCTTTTATTTCCTCATAGAAGCCTGTGTCTCTTAAAAGATTGGCTGTAAAACCAACTAAAATATGATTATAAAGGATTATTATTATGAATTCATATATTCGCTATTGATTATTGTGTTTTTCCAATGTGAATT